CTCAAAGTCCAGACTGCACTGAGAAGGCACTCCTTTCAAATGCTGTGGCAAATCCTCAAAACCAGCTAACTTCATTTTCTTCTTCAGCTGAGCAAAGAGGGGTTAACACTGCCCACATTGAAGATAAATCTAACAGAAGCATGGTACCAATAGTAATACTGTATTTACTGGTTTGCCCTCTCTGGGGATTTTTTTTTTACTTGTTGAAGAGGTGGGAGTTCTGTCAAAAATGAGGCTGGAGGTTGCAGGGAGAAGAGACTTTTGTGGTAAAATTATCCCTGCCTATGCCATGGTGTTTCTGGATAATGGTAGCGAAATCACTTTAGCCAGACTGAACGGATGATTTTTAATTGAGTGCTTTTCTCTGGGATTGTTTTATATTGTGACTCTGAGGTATGGTTTACACAAGTGCTGAGTGTTCACAGCTGTAACTGAAATAAAAAAGAGCTCTACTTGGAAAATAAGAAATGCTGAGCAATGCTAAGTACTCTGAAAAAAATAAATGTAAAATAACTGGGATAAGGCACACATAGATTGTGTGAATGCATTACCTGAAAATCTCTGTACCTCAATTCAACATCTCTCAAATGTCAAGAAGAAATGTTTCCCATCAAGAGCGTGACCAGAGTATATTCATTAGTTTTCTGAGCACTCCAGTGGTACGGTGATGACTGCCTGTGAGGAAGTTAATCATTCTGCCTTCAAAGCAGAGTCTGAATAGAGTCCCGAAAGTGCCAAAGCACAAAGTGAATAATGAGGAGAAGATAAGATGCTGCATATATACTTCTTAAACTGAGATGTGCATCCTGTGTACTGAATGAAGGAACAGTCCAGTGGGAAAAGTAGTCTGTGGCCACATAAATAAAAATTGTATCATATGGCAGAAGAGCTGAATAAGGTTATGACATTTCTGTTACCTAAGATTGGGGGGAAAAAAAACAACCAACCAACCAAAAAACCCAAAAAACTTAACTTAGGTGGAAATATAAAATACATGAGTTCATTTTGTTGGAGGCATTAAAAGAAATAAAATACAGATGCCCATCACATATAACACATCATCTCCTCTAGGTGGTGGCATAGGAGGCACTGCTCATCTCTTCCAGCATGGGATTGGTGGAAGTGACTTTTTGATACTAGTTAAACTACAAAAACAAAGATGGAAAATATAGCAAGGGGAAAGTGACCGTGCATTAAATAGAAAAAGTCTACAAGTCTACTACACAAATACTATTAAAATAGGATGATTACTGAATAACATATTCTTCAAACAATATTATTTTGTATTATTACCATAGAATATGGTTTAGAATGTAGAATACGATAAAAATATTATTGTTCTGAAGTAAGTTAAAGTGCATTTTGAGTTTTGCAAAAGGGTTTTGAAAGGAGGGAAGAAAATACTTTGCAAGTGATTATTTTTCCCTCAGTCAGCAAGGTAGTCCTTTTAATGATGTGGTCCAGATCCCTGTCTTTAATACCAGAAGCTCGGTGTGAACACTGCGCCATGTTTAGCAGTATTAGTCTAGAACAGTCATCATAATGGTCTTACGCTCCCAGTATTTATATATTCATAGTATTTTCTCTTAAGATGTAGTAAAGTTGTCATCATGGATTATGACCTTTTGATAAGCCTTATACCTGGAAACATTCAAGGTCAGACTGGACAGGGCTCTGAGCAACCTGGTCTAGTTGAAGAGGTCCCTGCTTATTGCAGGAAGATTGGACGAGATGACCTTTAAAGGTCCCTTCCAACCCAAACTATTCTGTGATTCTATGATAGCATTTTATGGAATTAAGAGCCATGTATTGGTATTGATTTTAATATCATTTCATAGTGACACAAGCAGTAGCTTCTTGTATAAACATGGACAGCCAGTTGCAGCTCTTTTAAATTACAGTTTTAGAGACTTTGAATTTTTTTAAGTTAAGAGAGAAAGTTGCAAAACCAGAGCATCAGTGAGGCAGGACTTCCCTTTACAAAAGTATCCCTATTGAGTTAACTCTTCCTTTGAGTCCACTGACTTGTGATGTTATAGGCATCAGTTTTGCATAAAGGAAGAAAAGATAAAATTCTCGGTTCTCTCATCCATTACACCATTTTAAAGCCTATAGAAGTCTTTTGACTTCAGTGTAGTCATCGTGTTGTAACATTAGCGTAGGTGGAACATCTGTTAAAAATGCTTTTGGACTGTCCTAATTATACATAATAATTTTCTATCTTTCATTATCCATCTGCAAGCAAGAATCTGTCTTTCATCTCAGAAAATTTATTTAAATAGACCTTTTTATATCACTGTTGTTATCTGTAGGGGGAGATACAAGTTCATGTACTTTTCAAGTAAACCAATACTAGAGAGAGAGTGAGTGCATGTTTGCAGATGTGCAGGAGGTGTTCTCAGTTTCATATACTGGAGTACATCTGTCTCTTACTTGCTATGAAACTATGGGTTATACTGTGTTTGCTTGAGTGTCAAAGCTAGTTTTGACAGCTACGTGCTTTAATGTCTCTGCAGGTGTCAGTGTTACAGGTTGATGAAAATCAGATAGACACAAATTCAGATAAGTAAAAATGTCAAAAATCTCCTGATGGCTTGTTCTTTTTAGTAGTATTTTCAGCCTTTGTTTTCACATCTTGTTCACTGGAAAACTTGAGCTAAAAATGGAGAAGGTCACTACCCATTACGAACAGATCCCTGTCTTCAGGAACAGCAGGGTAACTTACTTTGTATGTGCTCTTGCAAAACTACCAGGTTCCAACTACAGGTAGTTAATAGGAGAGAAATTTAAAGTCATACAGTTCCTCCAAGATTTGTATTCTTTATATAGATGTAGCTTTCCTGTAGAGATTTACTCACACAGAATAAAATTATTTCTCCAGTGGATTAGGTTGTTTGACTCTCCATCATGTTTCTGCAGAATGCATTTTTAAAGTACTTTACAATTAGGTTTTGTTTACTTATTTCTTCTTCATGTTTACTATGATACTCTGATATTGCTGCACACTTATATAACATGTGAAGATTACATACTTTTTTTTAATCTCATACATAATTTCCCCTGACATGCAGGTCCCTTGGAACTGGTGGAAGCTTTAGAGAATGGAGGGTGTCCCACAGCAGGATGTAAAGGAGTTGGGCATGTTAAAAGAGCAAGACATATCGGCCATCATAGGTATGTGCTATGAAAGTGTAATTTTATTATTTCAGTTGAGTGATGTGTGCTCATGGTTTTTTTAATTGTTGTTCACAAGAAAACAGATCCAAGATGGAAAAAAAAATGAAATCTTGTAAACCTAAATATGCAGTGATTTCAGTTGCCATGGTGAGCATGCTGAAGTAAACATTAGCAATCTGTAACTTCATTTCACCAGGGTGTGCCAAGATAAGATTTGTTGAACATCATTTTTTGTGACGATCGATAGATTCATCTAGTCTGTATTTTGTTCCTGTGAGGATTCCTTGGCTTGCTGTTCAGATTGCAAAATGTTACAGATATGTATAAAGCAATAACTTTTGAACCTTTTGAATTACAAGGGCACTAATTTTATTATGGCTTGGATGTTTTTGTTCTGCTTGGATGAAGATTTGCTTGTTGGCTTGGGAAAATACTAAAAAGGAAATTCTAATTCATGTGTTCCCAAATGACAGCATGAACAACTTGCTGTTTGTACCTAGAGTTTCTAAAGATCCTTTTGTTGAACACGCCAGGCTCTCCTGAAGGAGAGTTGACATAGGGAGAACAGTAGCATGGGAGAATGGAAAAGTGCAGGGGCAGGGCATGGGGAGACAATGATAGAATAAATGGGAAACATTTATTAAGTCAAGAATGTATTATCTTTAAAATATTTACAGTATGAGGTGTATTCTGACTAGGTAAGGGAGATGCAATTAATGTAACATGTTGAGAATGAAATATCATAAGTATCATCCTATAACCTTTTTGCAAATTAGGGTTTCAAGAAGTTTTCTTGGAATTTTTCCATTACACAGTCAATATGATCCTCAAAGTACTTTCTGCTCTTATATGGCTAGAGGATTTCTCTTTGGTAATTTGTCTACTCATGTTTTTTAAGTATATTATTAAACTACCATGATCGAAGAGTTAACTCTGCAATCTCTTTATATATTTGGTGGCAGAATTATGTTCTCTTGGCCAGAGTTATGCTACAAGGTTTTGATGGTGTATCAGCACTGGTTGAAGCCTTGGCTCATCCCTAACGAAGATAACTGCCAACAAAACTCACTGTGTATTTAAATTTTTAATGTGCAAAAGGCATCTTTTGCTGCTTGTATTTCTTTCCTATCCAGAGCAGAGGCATTGTGTTTGTGTTGTTTGGAGGCAGAAGAACTCCTGATGGTATTACAAGCTTTATCTTCAGGAAGCAATGTGGCTAGAATAGCTCCAGTGACAAAACCTGCTTTACTATGAACTGTGGTGATGACACAGTATGCCACATTGCAGTCTTTCAGATTGTTCTCACCCTTTTCCTTCTGCCTTTTTCTATCTGTGTTTTTTTTCTTTGATTTATTTTTTTCATTTTTTTCCACCTTCCCTTTTGAGAAATTTTGTTGAACTCAGGAGGAAAACTCCTTAAACGGTTAAATTAGTACTTAAAGAGGTTACCATCTTTCAGTTAGCATGTGGTAACCTACTGCATTCATGTTCTTAGCCCACTGTAAACATGAAGTAGACCAAACTTGCCTAAAAAGCTTCCTGGTTGTTAGCTGAAATCTATTTTATTTCATATTTGAGTAGACTGAGTTTTGTGTGATTTATTAATGTACATGATCTGTACAGCAATGACTTCCAGTTCAGAGTATCCTCTTCCTTACCATGTGCCATCTCAGTTACTTAGATTCAGGTGAATGGACCCATTCTTAGCCCAAGGCTGAAACTTTAAAAAAAAACAAACAAAAAAAACACAGAAAAACCCCCCAAAACCACCCCGTAAGTGAATGTGTCAGAAAAGTTTTTAATTTATAATCTCTCTAAGTAAACTTCGTCACTAAAACTTCTAATGTTTCACAGGGAAGGGATGAGTAAGAGCTATGTGTCTAGTTAATTCATGTAGCCTTTGTTTTTATAACTGGATTTGCTATGGTATTTAAAGTTGTTATACTTACTCATCCTGAATATTAAGAAAAGAAATAAACTCATGGCACTCTATTGTGTTGTATTTTTACTATGGTATTAGCAGTCCTATTATTTGCACATTAATAGTTCTAGGGGATAAAAATATAACCAAAGAGATTTTGTTGATCATAAGACAGGTATTTGCTGTTTCATAGCAATTAAATTAACACTGTTAAGTATCTTATTCAGTAACTGTATTGGTTTGCCCTATATGCCAGTATGGTGTTGTTTTTTTTCTTGAGCATTTCTGAGGAAAATAATGAGATTTGTTATTTATCTGGAGTCTACAGATTTGAGGGTCCAAGTCACCCCAAAAATTCTAACACTGTATCATCAATTTTCTCCTGAGTTAACAAAGACATTTTTAAATTGGTATAATTATCTGTGTCAGGTAGCAGTCCCTTGGCTCTTTTATCTTGGCAACCTTGAAATGTATTTAACTATGCTTATCTTTTTTTTTCATGATGAGGTACAACTTCTATCTACAGCATAAATGCCTGTGTGCAGAAAAGATGATAATTTAAAATGCTAAGTAGTTCTGAAATAATTTTGAGGGCTTGTTTCTTAGGAACCAGATGAAAGCCTCAATGATTGCTTATGTAGTGAGGATAAAGCATTTACTTTTTGGAAAAGTTGATGTTAATAAGGACTTAGTATTAACACCAGTTAATCTAGGGCTTTGAGCTGCGCAGATGAAACTGACACTGATGTTCAGGTTGGTAGCAATATGCATATCACCTGCATATGTATGTTTGTGAATTGTATGCTCATATTTATGTTGGTGGATTGTATGTTTAATGCATGCAACAATTTTCAAGTTCAAACAGTAATGCAGAGTGGTCAGTTATAAACATAGTGGTTTGGGTCAACTCTTCATAAATAAAGATCTTTACAGAAGCTTTACATGCATTATATGTAAGTTGAAATGAACTGAATGTGCCAAGGTGGAGGCTGTGTTGTAAGAGAACTGCAGCGCAGAAATGTGGGAAACTTCAGCTCAGCAGGATGTCGCATCTATTTGTTCAGTGTCTGCTGAATTAATTCTCATCTGATTTTGATGCCAGTCTCAAGTTGCATTTTATTTTTTATGCAAGGTCATTGGCCCCAGTCAAATCCGTTACAAGCTACTCTTGAGTCAGGTTTAGACTGTTGAAGCAGCTTTCTCATAAAAAAGAGTACTTTGATGATAAACATGTGTTGTAAATTGTGAAAGAGAACATCTGTATCACTTGTTTCCAGACTAGTTAAAAATGTTTTGATAAAATAAACTGAAATAAAGTCATCACTTAACAAAAATCCAGCAGAAAAAAACAGTACATCCCTAGATGTTGTCAGGACCTTTTCGCTGGAGGTTTCTTACTCATCACATACCACTCTCAGCAGATGCGGTCGTCTGGACATAGGCCGCTCTAAGTCTAATCCATGAGTTAGTCCAGTTTATTTGTTTAACCCATCAAGGAAGATGGTTTGAGCAGATCTGGGTGAGTTTTCCTGGGGCTGTCATACAACCTCATTCCTTAGCAGTGCTTGGCAGTAACCTGCACCTGAAAGGCCATGAGGAGCTGGTGTTGGTAACGTATCCAGCCAGTACAGCTAAACCAGGAGACTTGTCTGTAGCTTCACACAGGTTTGCAAAATATTCCAAGCAGTCATAAAGACTAATAATCTATATTAAAATATACTGTAGTATTTACTTTCTCTTACCAGAAGTTAATACTAAAAGTTAATACTAATGTTTTAACTAAAATGAAAACATTTTCATTAACAAAAAAATACCCCATTTGAAGAGTAGTGCTTTACAGTCATAAAGACTAATAATTTATATTAAAAAATACTGTAGTATTAACTTTCTCTTACCAAAAATAGTACCGCTTTACTCCTATTCTTCGGGTTAAGAAAGAATCCTGGCTTCTGATGTTAGGTGTAGCTGAGGCTGAGTAATCCAATTGGACCCTGTACTTCACAAACTTTGCATACTGCTAGAAGATAGGAGCATCTCCAGATGTCTGGAGAAGACTAAGGCCCATGCCCACCCATCAGTAGTCCAGTTTATCCTACTACCCTTGAACTTTAAAGGAAAAAGATATGTATGTAACCCTACATAGAGATAGATCTTGAGAGTGATAGAAGAGCAGTTGCAAAATAACCACAAATGGGGTATGCTGTCTTGATACTTTGGTTCCATTGGACAGTTCTGGAAGGGGCTGATCATGTAGAACCTCTGTTGACTTGCAGATCCCCGGCCTGTGATCCCAGGAATTCTTCAGAATGGTATACAAGAAGTATACCAGCATTGGATTTTTATTTTATTGATCTTTCCTGATTCAATAAAAACAGAAGCTTATTTTAATGCTCAGTTTTTACTCAGACCTCTGCAGGACTCTGGGAACAGTGGCTCCCTCTCCTCAGAAAACTGCTCTATGAACGTGTATTGCCAGCTACTCTCCTGCCATTTCAGTAGGATACAAAGTGTACAGCAGACAGCTAATTGCTGTGCTGTGTTGATCCTTCAGCATTTAGAGGTGGCTGATTACTCTCCTATGCTGGGGTGGTCTGGTGGTGTTAATGTGAATATTTGTTTACTGAAACATGGGTTGAGCCTACTGAAGCAGCTCGGATGATAATTGGGTACCTTTGTGTTGGACTGGTTTCAAAGTTGTGAAGCAGCGCTGGAGGGTGTATAGCCCTGTCACATGTATAGTAGAGGTTTCAGATTGGGTACCTGCTGCTGCTTCTGCTTCTTGCTGTGCTCCCTGTGCCTCTGGCAGACCTTTTTACTGCCAAGTCAAGGACGTCTGATCATTTTGGAAACTGGTTTCTGAACTTCTGTCTTCAAAATAGCGTGGTAAGGCAAACTGCAAGCTGGAGCAGAAATCCAAGTTTGCATTGACAGAAGAGTTAAAAATCCTAATTTAAAACTAGATAACCTAAACATCAAGATTTATGAGCCCTTGAGATGAGTTGTCTGTAAAACTTATGGTCCTGTATAAATCTATGGTGGTTTTACTAGGCTAACTCTTGGCTAGCAGCCAAGCACAGCTGTTAACTTGCTCCACACGCCCCCACCCCCCAGGGAATAGGGGAGAGAATTGGGGACAGGGGTAACGAGATTTATAGGTTGAGATAAGAACCATTTAAAAATTGAAATAAAATAAAACTTAAAATAATAATGATATTATTATAATAATGATAATATTAATAGTAATATTTTACGCAAATGAGTGATACGCAGTGCAGTTGCTCACTACTCACTGACCATGCCCAGCCTGTTCCCAGATAACGATCCCGGAGGAGCAACAATCCCAAACCGAAACCGCAATCTCAGAAGAGCGAGAGCCCGAGTGGAAGTCAGAGAGAGCAAAAGAGTTATATGATATGGAATATCCTATAGGCATATCCAAATACTAATTTAGCTTATTAATTTAAATATTCCTCACCTTCCTTAGATCTTGTGCTTGTAGACTAACAAAACATGAAGTCCTTCACTTCCAGCGACAAAAATGAAAACATTAGCACGTTATCGGTGTTTCTTTCATAACAAATCCCAGCCTGGAACCAAAACACAGCGCTATTCTAGCTACTAAAAAGAAACCCAGCTCTCTCTCAGCTAAAAACCAGGACACAATCAAATACTTCTATTATGTAAGAATAACGAGATTAATTTTTTTATTCTTTGTAGTAGACATATTAAACTGAACTGAATGCTGGAGGCATTGAGATTCAGGAGGATTTACTGATTGATCTGAAGCCATGTAACTCATACACAGGTTCATTCATGCTGTGTTTTGTTGAAACAAAGCCAACAGTGGAAACCATGAGCGTCCTTTTTGTTGCCCCAAGTAATAGTAACATCAAAGGACTATCAGGGAGTTTTTAAAAAGTATACAGCAACTCAAATTATTAATTACAAAGAAAAACTCATCCAGATCCAGTGTTCTAAAGCGTCGTTAATATTATAACTGTTGTTGGCTGAAATTGTCATCCAGCTTCTGTTTTTCCAGAAGATACTAAAGGAGAAGGCAGTATATGAGCAGGCAAGTTCTAAGGAAGGACTGAATTTTGAGGCTTTTTCTTGTTTCTTAGCTTGAAACATATTAATGGTGTTGGTAATATAATTTCATCTCCAGCAGGCCTTGTGTTTGTCAGATTTCATTGTGGTGTAAGACTTTTTTAATAATACATAACTAAAGTTAAATACCACATTGGTAGTGTTTGGTGTTTCCTTGAGACAACCCTCTAACTGCTTAAAAACGCTAAGCCTCAAAACACTCCTGTGGGCATGGGAAGCCAAAAATAGAGTACACACTTTGCCTTATAGCAATGGCAGAACTGAGATGAATCAATATATTCCTGAATTTCTTAATAACTGTATTTCATCACAGTGGTATGAGTTTGTCACAGCAAGAATTTAAATCCCACTAGCACTGGCTCCTTAAAACCTTTTTCTGAATAGAAGCCTGTATCTTTCATCTTGTAGTTCATTTGAAAGGGAAAAAAGACAGCATTGTGATAGGTGCAGCAATATAAAGAATTGAGAAAATAAAATAACTTCCCCTCTTCCCTTTTGTTCCTTTTTTCTTCCTTATCTTTCAGTTTATGGTTTTTTTGTTCTTTTAAGACATCTGGCAGAAGCTAGTCCTAAGATAGACAAAATCAGTAGGTTGAAAAATTTAAGTAGAGGTATATAAATAAATCTAAAATGAAATGCCAAATTCTGTTTAAGAGAAATTAGAAATAAAAGTTAAATGGTCCAAGTTAAATTTTTCTTTGTATATTCTATTCTGTGTCTTTAAAACATTTTCATTAACAAAATATTACCCTATTTCAAAGGCAGTACTTTACAGTCCAGCCCCCCCGTTGGCTTTATCTGATTATTCTGTGTAGACTTCTAGTATGAAGGTTCTCATGGCAAAAAACCTCAGTGCCTGTATCTCAGAGAAGATGCTGTAACTACCACACAGTTCTTCAGAAAGGGGCAAAGATAACTGTCCTGTACAGATCTTCTGGGGATGGCTGGCTTGCTGGCCCTTGAAAACACTGTACAGGCTGTTGGGGAACACCATCTGCTTGGAATAGCCTTAAACAGGGATCTCATCTTGGTTAGAAAAGCAGAAATCATATTCTGCTGACATGTTTTTCCTCTATAATTCAAGTTCAGCACAGCTATACAAGGATTTAAAAGAAAAAATAAGGCTGATACTGTCTTGTTTTCAAATGAACCAGCTGACAAAATCAGACATGCTGGTGAACTCCTGTGTCGATAACCCCAGCAAGGACTGACTGATGTCACCTGTGTGGCCTTAAGGAATTTTCTCCTTGTATACTAGTGCTGAGGGAAATGTAAATTTCCACCAGCTTTTTGTTTATGTTGGTGAGACCAAAATTAGATTACTAATACTGGTCCAATCTCATGATAAGAGTTGATTCATACACACTGTAAATCCAAAGCTTCATCAGTAAAGGAGAATGTACAGCATATTTTGAATAAAAGACCTTTTTTTAGTCTATGCTTTGTAAAATGAACATGATAATTAAATCTGTTGGTTTTCTGTGTAGTTTTTGTACTGTGGAGGTGGCAGGGCATATGGCTGACAAGGTAGATTTGTTTACATTAGTTAATTCTGTTTGGAAATCATGCATGTAACAATCAGTGAAACAAATGCAACTTTGCAGTAGTTTATGGAAAGGCAGATAGTTATATTCTTGAAAAGAAAATCAACAAAATCCCAGGACATGAATTTTTTATATTTTGCCATTGTCAAGGTCCTTGTAATAATACAGGTGAGTAGGAAAACATAATTAGAGATCATAGTTAGTGTCATGGCTCATGGAGCACAAAATAGAGCATTAAGTTTAGTCCAGCCTCTCCTATATCTTAAGGATTTGAAAACTGAGCGTGTTCTTACTCACTGTTGTGGCAAGTATATACCTTTCAGAATCTGGGATATTGTCTTTGAAGTGGGAGCATGTAGCCTACTGACCAACTGAACATTACATGCATTCTTCTAAAGACAGCATCCTAGTTCAGCCCAGTGTGTTTTGTGTTCTTCCCTTTCCTACCTCTTGTAGGAGGTCTGACTTTCCATTTGTTAGAGTAATATTTACAAGTCATTATCAAAGCACAATGTCAAATTCTCTCTTTAGTTGGAACGTAGTGAAATAGGGAGTGTTGACTGATAGGAAAGACTGAAAATATCACAGTCTTTTAATGGAATATCACAAAATGGCATTTACAAAGATGGGGTGTTCAGTGCAGTAAGAGGATGTGCACCATTCCTCATACTGTGACCTTGCAATGCAGCTTCTGTGTGAGCATTACATAATAGAAATACATTCTTTTGCAGGAAAAATAACTGTGGAAAAATGATTTTGTTTGGAGAGAGGTGGGTATAGTGAAAGGCACTCTGTTCATTAGGTATAAAATACCATTAAAGTTATGAGAGAGCAGGCTAAACATTCATCAAGCAATTTTCCAGAATGTATGCTGTAATATAAATTAATACAACTTGTGTTACATAAGTTACTGTCAAAAGGAAGTGCAAATAACATTCAAGTTTTTAATCAGTGGATTTATTAACATTTTCAAGTATGACTGCTTATTGCATTTTTTCTAATCTTTTTATTAATTGATTGCATCTGTTTCTAGAAAACTGGTCTCTGATGTGTCATTTCATTTGAACTACGTGAAGTCAGTAAAGTGTCTGAGAATAAGGAGGTATTTCTCTTCTTCAACTTCTAGTGCGGTCAGCTGCCCGTATTCAGAGATGAACTTGAACAAAGAAAGCCTCTTACCTGACCGGTTGAGTGGGGAGATGCCTGCAGCCAGTCCTGTCCCCAGAAACAGAAAAGTGGAAGCAAGTGAAAGATCCACCTCTCCTGTAATCAAGTAATTACAGTTGAAGCTGTGTCTGTGATTAACAGCAGTACTTTGTTTCGGTGTTCTGCAATGTGATTTGTAGTTGTGTAATGGCTGATTTTACTGTGTATGATTTAAAAAGAATTCAGTTTCATCTTCAGTGCAACTGTCTAGACTACTGAGTGGTTAATTGGCATTTAAAATGGATTGCTTGCCAGTTGGTTTCACTTAAGAAAATGATGTATTTGTGGTTTTTTTGTTCACTGGGGTGGTCTTATTGACATGACTGTAAATTAACGTTGCTCTTTGAAGAACAGCCACTGTGAATTCTGTCGTTACTGTTGGAGTGGGGAATCAAATTACTGGGAGTGCGTTTTGAAGGAACGATCCTAAAGTCTGTAGCTGAAGCTTCTAGCAGGAGCACTGAGAAAAAACAAAGGGATGTGATACCAAGATGGTGATTTCCTATCAGCAATTGTGGGCACCAACTCCTGTGCTGTTTCTGAGCTGTGGGGATACATAGAAAATTTAGGAAGGAGAGGAAAAGAAGAGAGCGTGAATGTTTGTAGTGAAAATTTCCAGTTCTCACTGTAATGACCATGTATTTTCAATAGATGGTATTTTAAATTGCATTTTCAGAGACAATTTCAGCTTCATGCTTTAAAAACCAAACTATTCAGCTGCCAAAGAGCACTGCCTGGTTAGATTGTTCTTAAAAGTGTAGGGTTATCGTAAATCTTAAGTGACTTAATTACCCTCTGACAGGAACCCCGGGGAACTGTCCCAATGAAGTCAGTAACAGTCTGAGCAGTGTTCTCTGTGGCAGGGACTGTGTCAAGTGGTATTTTTTTCATTGTCCCAATTGAGAGACTGCATAACATCTTTAAAGGGTCCTGACTACATAATGGTATATTGTGAAAGGGAAAGAAGGGATAGGAGGAAGATGATACTTCAAAGTTTTCTTGTGTTACAAATATTCAAAGTGCATAGCTTATTATAAAAAATGACATTGGACAAATTCTCTTCCTGTTGAATTGCCTAAATATTTGATTTCATGGGGAAGAGAGTTCTGTATTGTGCTTTCTGAAAATCCCAGGTATACAATTTTGTTGGTGGCAAGTAAGAGACTTCTGTATATTTCTTAAAACAAAAAAAGCCCTTATATTTCTTCAGTAATGACTCTTTACCCATAGAGAAAATCAAGTTGAACAGCAACTGAGCTGCTTTCAGTTTTAAACATTTTGTTAATTTGTTTTAAACAGTGACAGAAAATGCCCCAGCCCTGGTCACGTAGGTATGAAATCTTCAGCTCACAATAGATCATCTGGGAAAACTCTACCAGAAACAACTAAGCAGGAAGATGCAGAAAGTAAATCTCCTTGCAAGAAGCCCCCGTTGTGCGATATGAAAGAAAAGAAGGCACCTGGGTAACTTACCAGTTCCTTTCAAAGTATGGGTTGGTTGGAGACCAGTTTAAAATGCAACTTCCCAGGCAATGCAGTTCAGTGATTTGTCTGTGGAACTCTTGGAAGCAGTTAGGAAGGAGATGGAAGTTCTTTGGCTGTCTTTATATTGGAAATAGGGAGGAACAGAGTGTCACAGTGTATTTAAGAAAAAAGAAATGCATATCAGAGAGGAGAGGAAAAATCTTACAAGAAAGCTAAATTATTGGAAGTTGAGATCCTTCTTCCCTACCTCTGTGTACAAATATGTTATTGCTTATGTACAGATATTATCTTTATGAAGACCTAAAATCTGTTCACTGTACTGAGTCATTTTCATTCAGAGAATAACATCCTCGTGCCAACTTTGAATTACCCAGAGGCTTTGTAGTTTGTATTTGAACTATTTGAATACACTGATGACTATCTGCATTTTATCATCCAGCTTTCCACATTCTTTATGTATCCAGCATAGTCAGAAAGGATTTTTAGTTGAATAAACTTCCTTTGAAAAAGGCATGAAAAATAGTGTTCACAACATTAGGTGTATTTGAACTGCTAGAGTTATAAAATATTGAGCATCTGGTTATTGCAATACCCAGTGGATCTTTTTAGATGTATATTCAAAGAGCACATGCATAATTGAAGACATAGATATGTATACTTGTGTGCTCTTTAGCTGCTGAGCTCATGGTGTGGATTTAATTATGTTTGACTTCAGTACAATTGTGTATACCTTCATATTCCACGTAGTCTTTTGTTTCATAGAAGTCCTTGATTGAGGAACCAACCACATACAAAGCCAACCATAAGATTTATTTTGTTTTGTCACATCTGAGTAGTACCCAACTAATTTCCAGTTCTACTTACTCTATCTATCATCTATCTATCTATCTATCTATCTATCTATCTATCTATCTATCTATTTAAACTAGTAAGAGGTATCTGTGTATATAAATAACTGTACTAGAAAATTTTGGGTTGCATAACTGCATGTAAAAACTGCAGTCTGTCCCTTTGGAATGTTCAGAGATTAAAATTCAATATAAAAATTACATACCTACAGCATATTAATTTGAAAGTATCTTTATACTATCTTCAGACTAGCAAAAGAATTTCACTGTAATAGGAGTTCCACTTTGGAAATATTTACAGTTAAGGAAGGTGAACACAGGCTTGGGAATCAAATAGTACTACCTCTTAACAGAAAATTCAGTTTATCTTCCAACCCCTTCTCCAAAAACTTAAATTCATGGTACTATCTTGTATTTAACCACTGAGATAAAATTTCTGGATGTATGTCACTATGAAAATTGTCCTCAAAAAAATAGGAAGCTACATGTTTCCTCACAGGTTTGGTGGTCTCTGTTCCTTACATTGAATTACAGTAATCACAGCTTTGGAATTCATTGCACTACTTTTTAACATCTTACTTTAGAAGTTCTCTGTGTTTGTGGAGGCTAGGAAAATAATTTTTAAGTAGATAAATGGAGATGACATTTCTGAGAAAGATACTGTGGAGAAGTCCTTTGTGGCACAAGAAGACATGCCTGCTGTATGCATTCCACTGACATTGCTTGTCATACCGTTATTATTTGTGTCCTACCATACTACAAAGGCTGGATTTGCCAATTTGTTGTGTTTGTTTTGCACCAATAATAGTGTATTAAATGTGTTTCTGTTGTTGTCAGTGAACTTGCAGCTCCTAGCTGATTTATTCCCCAATGCTTACTTGTTTTCAATAGTATACGTAGTATTTAATGTATAAATTGAGGGAGCAGCCTCAGGCAGCAGGCAGAGTGGCTCTTTTAGCTGGATAAGAAGTAATGCAAAAACAGTAACAAAATAATACAGATATTATCAGTGAGATCATTAACAGTTGCAGAACTGCGTGTCAGTGTAGTACAGAAGTTGGGGTAGGTTGGAGATGAAAGTTGGGCTGAGAAAAAGAAGTAGATGCTCTTTCAAACAGCTCCTGAAAATGGCCTGAATAACCAAGAAGGCTTTGTATGAAATGCAGCTGTATATGTGTTCTTCACTCTTCCCATCTTCTGTCGTGGACACATCTGCTGCCTTTATTTGTATATTTTCCAGTTTCAGTTATGAAGTCAACGGTGTCAATATGATTTACGTAATTTTAGTTTACACTACTCTTGAACCTTTATTGCAAAATTCATGTCATTAGTCATACCATCTGTGTAAGTCAGAAATTAAATCCTCTCATTTTATTTTATGATGATACAGCATCCTTTGTGTGGGAATTCTGGTGTGTTAATAGCATTGTTAGCAAGACATGTCATCATGCTTAGTGATTTTTATGATGTATTAATAAAAAATGAACATCTTATTTTCCTCAGTGGAGCACTACAGACAAAGGACCCCATAAAGAGCAAAGAGTGTGAGGAAGAGGAGACAGAAAATAAGCTGCTCATTTCAAGTGAAATTAAAGGTAAATTGGCAGTACTTCCTTTGTTTCATATTAAAATCTGCAGAACTAAAGTGTGATATTCCTTGAAATTCTTCATGAAATTTCATTGCAACTTATTTTCCACATTCAGTATTTGTGTCCAAAAATTTCTTGACAGCAACGCTTTTAACACTGTTTCTTTATCTTGTAATCATCAAAGGCTTTGCCAAGAGCTTTATCGCAGTTATCAAGATGAGTGCAAAATGAATACTAGTATAAAAAGTTTCAAGAATATATTTGCACTGACTTTTAAAAAATGGTAAATTGGTCTGAGCTGTAAAGGTATGACATTCACTTATTGCTTCAAAAGTGTATTGAAAGAAAGTTAAAGCATTTACACTTTACAGGCATAATGAAAAGTTAAGGTGATTTACACAGTCCAACCTCAGTCTGTTGTTCAGTCTAATACTTTCCAGCAGCCCATATGCAGAACAGGCCCTTTCTTCTTCATGCATGTTACAGAGGGATGGCTAAACGTTTTACTTCACTGAAAAACCAAAGACAGTCCACCAAGATGATTAGGTAGCTGAGGGACTTGACATGAAGAAAGGTTGAAGGAATTTGGGAAGGAAAGACTTGGAGGTATCTAGAGTCTCCTGGCTCTTCACTGATCCAGTTGGATAGATTGAGGTAGCTGTTCATTATTCATTTTTATCCTCATTGTTTAGAAAGTATACAACACAAATCCGGAATGTCACAGTCTTATATTTGATAATGAGTTTGTGTGAAACTTAGTATGTTAGGCTATTTAGTGATTGAACTGAGGCAGTGCATTGTTTCAGTACAGCTTTTGCTGCAATAATTTCATTAACTTGGGGAAGTTAATGAGAAGCTAAATGTCTTAATTTTATAATTTAATTTTTTAGATTTTTTTTTTCTTCAACAATTTGTTGTGCAACACAAAATTTGTAAGGCTTTTATCAGAAATCTTGAGACTTGAGGTACTGTGGTTCTTCAACGGCTACATTTCTTATCTTTTAAGTGAGCTTATCATAAAACCCTGGAAATTCTTCTAGACCAGTAGAGCATTGCATAAAGATAAAATTAATATTTTTATTAGTATTTTTAATTGTTAACCTCTGATACATTTCTTTTTATCTTAAAACACCATTTGTCTGTCAGCACTTTTCAGATAGATCTAAGAGGCACTCTGAAGAGTGTGTGAAGTATGGAAGATTACATCTATTACAAGACCTGTGCAAAAGATGTAAAAAACTCCAGGTTGTTAAAAGTGTTTTGAAATATGGTGTAGTTCAGAATTCTAGAGAAAACAAAGCATTAAAAGAAGAATCTCTAAAGCAGATGAAAGAATGAGAGGTTTTTGGTCATTTTAAGTATTTTGTTTCAGCAGAATGGGAATATACTGTTTTGATGTTGACTTTGCATTATGTAACGCAGTGCAAAAAAATTTAAATTCATATAGTTTGGAACATTTTAACTTGTCTGCAGTTCTTCTAGTCTAAGAAGACTGGCCTGATTTTGTGAAGCTTTTTGAGTTTAGCAGAATAGACTTTGGATAAAGTTTCACCTACAATCTCTGCTTACTTTTTAGGATGCATTTCTGTGCAGGGTCTTGAATATTTACATTTATAAAACTAGAACACTTTCTTTACATTATTGTTTTAAAAAGTTATCCTTTTTACCTCCCTTTCATACACACAATTTCATGTCATTATTTGTTTAAATGTGCCATAATAATCTTCAGGGTGGAAATGGATCACTGAGTTCTTGCTATTATAGTCACGGAAAACTCAAGCTAAAATAATTGCAGTTGTGCAGACTTTTGTGAACTGTGACTACCGGTACCTGTACTTGTCCTATATTTTCTACATGCACTTACATTATTATTCTTCAACCTATTTTTGCCATACTCACTTGTCCAGTTCTCTCCTGATGCTTTATAAAATGTGTGCTGCTATCTTCCCTTTTTTGGAGAAGGATTATTTCGAGCTAAAGAACTCCACTGAAATCACAGCCCCTAGATACTGGGTTGGGTTTTGTTTTTTGTTTTTTGTTTGGTTTTTTGGTTGGTTTTTTTATGGACACAAATCCTATGCTTAGAAACCTGTTACATGCTAGGAGCTAGAACGTGCAGGAGGGAGTGAACAGTGTTAATGGTCTCTTGTTAATGCCAGAAAATGTTTGCCATTTAACTTCTTTGAAACATTAGGTTCTGTTTTGTTGAAGGGTAACTCACTAAGAAGGGAGAGATGAATTAAGGAAGATAAGGTTCAGGGAGAAGGATAACAAGGCAACATTAAGTATGAAGAAGAATGTAGAGGCAGGTGGACTGATTCTGAAGCAAACTGTCAGCAGAGGACAACAGTGGTCACAGTGTGAACTTACTGTGTCTGGCTCTACTATCTTGCATGGAGGTGGCAAGCAGATTTTATTTCTTCACGTACATGGTTCAAGGAGCTCTTTGTGACTCTGTGGTGAAACTAGTTAACACGTGGTGCGCCTCAAGTTACAGTTCTCCTAAATGTCCAAAGTACATCATGTATTTTCTCTGGCCCACAGACAGAGATTGCCTTTCTTTGGGAAGCAGAGTGACAAATATCAGAGCATGAGGATAGGGAGAACTTTCCGATGTCTGGTATTACATAGATTATAGCCAAAATACTGTGCTTTGCACTGTCTTTTGCAAGAAGTTACCCACACTAAACCTAAGTTTCTTTTTGTCAGGGATGTGGTTACACCTGCTGTAGGATTGGGGACTTTTCTTTTTTCTTTTTCTCCATCTAGTTGGGTAAATTTGCAATTTACATGCTCCTTTTGTGCTGCTCATCTTACCTGTGAGGCAGATATGACACTAGGTGAGAAGCAGAGGCATTTTTATCCACATCCTCAAAGGTATTAGGCACGGAATTCCTTTCCGTGTCAGTAAATAGAGCTCTTGAATATGAATAGATGGAGAGCCACGTTTAGCATTATGCAGTGTCACGTTAGTGAACTTATTTTCTGCTGACCTCATTCATAACCAGCTGACCTGTGTTTGCTTGAAGTTTTCCAGAGGAACACAGCATGAACAGTTGCCCAGCATAGATTTTTCATGTGGAATTGTTAGGATTTGACACAGCTGTAAACTATTGAAAATAAAGACATTTGGGATAGATAGGTAACCTTAGCTGTCATTGCTGCTACTCAGTATGCATGTACCTATATGCTTTTATGTATACATATGTTTAAACATGTGAAAATGGAGGGCAGTTTGCTTGGAATTTTCTTCACACAGTATTGTTGCCTACCATTTATGTTACAGTATCAATGTATCACATGTTTTACGAGTGGAAAAAAAAAAAGGCACTAAATACTTACATTTTCAACTCTTCAGAGACCTTTTTTAGAAATAAATCAGAGGATAAGGATGGGGAGGGGATTCAAGGGAACAAAGAGAAAGGTACTGTTTAGTAAAATAGACTTTACTTTCAGCGTGCTCGCTGCCTTACAAGACTCTCTCTTTTCTTCACTGAGATTTTTAATAGTAGTAGAAGCTATAAGGAACATTGAAGAACAACAGTGAAGTGTAAACAGGCATTTAGGGAGCTCACTTCCAAGAGTAAGAGTATGATGTTAGGAAAAAATTAAGGAGTCTAAAAATTTAATCAGTGGACTGAAAATACTGACAAAATGGCATGAGTCAACTTCTGAATAATAGACTGTGGTGGGTTTACCTTGACTGGATGCCAGGTGCCCACCAAGCTGCTTTATCACTCCTGTCCTCAACAGGATGGGAAGAGGAGAGAAAATAAGATTGGAACCACCCTGTGGGTCAAGATAAAGGCAGTTTAATAAAGCAAAGGAAAACAGAATATTTATTCTCTACTTCCCATCAGCAGGCAATGTCCAGCCACTTCCCAGGAAGCAGGGCTTCAGTACACGTAGCGGTTGCTCCAGAAGACAAATGTCATAATAACAAATGCTCCCCCTCCTCTTCCTCCTCCTTTGTCTTAGCTTTTATTTCTGAGCAGATGTCATATGGTATGGAATATCCCTTTGGTCAGTTTGGGTCGGCTGTCCTGGTTATGTCCAATCCCAAGATCTTGCCCACCCCCCAGCCTACTGGGTTGGAGGATGAATGTTGGAGAGAGCCTTGAAGCTGTGTGAGCACTGCTCAGCAGTAACCAAAACACTGGTGTGTTATCAACACCTTTCTAGCTACCAGTACAAAGCACAGCACTATGGGGGCTGCTATGGGGAAAATTAACTCCGTCTCAGCCAGACCGAATACATGGACATTGTTATAAAAGGAGGTTGTCTTGAAAATAACAAAAATTTAAGCTGGAGGAGCAGACAACACAGGCAAATGTAATCACATCCTGTATTGGCCACATTATACATTCTAGGCCAGTCCCACTGTGCTGGCAAAAATCTATAACAGGAATTTGTGCCCTAGTTGTTGGGCACAAATGTATGAAAACTGGAACAGTAAGGACAGGGAGAACTGTGAATAATAGCAACTTCCCAAAACCAGAAATAGATCGGAGCTGTAATAAAGTGAGCGATCCAAACAGAAATAGCACAGGGATTTGTGCGTGGTTGCATGAAGCCATGGTAGTAAAGAATATTAGGCATAGGTTCTTTGTTGGCTGTTTAATTCAGAAATTGATTCCAGAGATTTTCCACAATTTTACTCGGCAATTGGGAAGCATTTAGGCCTGAGTTCATAGCAGGCATGTTGCTTTTGCATTTGCAATGGATCAAAATGAATGTAGATGTCTTAGGCAGTTTGACATCATTCAAGGCATGCCTCTTCACTCTTCCCTCCTACACACATCTGCAACTGCTGCTGCTCTCCAGACAGCAGCAGCAACAGCAGCATGTGGCTGAAGCCACCCTCCCACTGGCTCATTACCTTTGAGGCCAGTGGCATGGGAACTTATTCCTTCCATTATGGATAGGTGAGATAAAAAGGGAAATGACCTTGCAAAAAAACCCCATAGCAGTACGGAGGAGTTAAATGTTGTTTTCCAAATAAAAAATTCAGTTGAAGTGGGAGCAGGAAATTTGCAGACATTTGCGTTTTTTCATCAGAAGAACTGAGAAACATTTTGTTGTGGATGAGGCATAAATGTTGTGTGGGCTGGAACTGTACAACTGATTCACTTGGAATTTTGTAGCAGTGTGGTGCTGCTTTTGATGAAGTTATAACAGCTCAACCCTGGAAGTAAGTTAGTTCTTGTACTGCTGTACAACTATTAAACGTGGGTGTCATTTATTGTATCAAAATATTTAAAATTATTTGAACTGTGGTGTGGTATGCCAACAGTTGTGTTGGCATAGGATTGTGTTGTGTTGGAAGATATTTCTTCCATGTAAGAGTAGTTATGTTTATGTAGAGCCAATCTAATCACAGTCATACTAGTGGAAGCAAAACTACAGCCTGTATAGGGAGGCCCCTATCAATAGAAAGGAACATGCTTTTACTGTGACTGATCTCACTGATGGAGGGATTTAATGCTTGTTTGTTGCTTCCTGCTGTTGAAGATATTGAAGAACCCAACACGCAGAGGCTTCTTTCTCAACCAGTTATTGTGTCTTCCAAGTTGCAAATCCCTGGCCTACCATTGCGCTGGGAACAGCAGAGCAAGCTCCTTCCAAGTGTAGCTGGGATCCCAGCCAGTAAAGTTTCTAAGTGGAGTACAGATGAGGTAAGTTTCCCCTATATCTTCTGTCTCACTGCCACTGCCCTTGAAGTCATGGTTGATCCAGGGCTTTAAGTTAACCTCATAAATTAACAATAGTGCATTAGTACTCAGAGGATTAGAGTCCGTCAGACCTAATGTTTACAGATCCCTGAAACACCTAGAAGCAGTAAGTAGTAATTCATATCTGTAGAGATAGGTATAGATGTAGATAAATATATATGTATAGGTACATATTTGCTGGGATTAAAAAGGGAAAGAAAAGTGCTAAATGTATGGCTCAGCAGATCAGGAGCTCAAGGTCTACACTAATGACATCTAGCATCCACACAAACATTTTGGAGGAATAATTTAGCATGCACCAAGGAACTACTCCTGGTGCATAGTTTGGATGTGACACACTTTTGGAGGATGAGAACATATTGCAGAGAAGAATGGTATTGTATAGGTCAAGTCATGACACCTGATTTCAAGATCAGAGCCCTGTCACTGTTCAAGTATGTAATAATGCTTGGACAGACAGAGTCTAGTCCCTGCTTTACTTTCAGAAGGACCTATGACTAAGGCAATTTTCTGCCTTAGTCTCCTCTAATCAGAGAAAAAGAAGCATGAACTTTTAAAAAAGATTTGCTAATGTCTGTGGTGTAAAGAATAAAGAAGAAGAAAGTAGCAACCCTTCTGATTTGTGAGAAATGATTCACCGAAAAAAGATTCATGGTTCTGGATCTGCATGGATAGAAGAACCTGAGTAATTTTGAGAAGTAGCCATATTCCCCTCTTAGATGTCCTCTGGATAAGAGTGGCATGTGCTCTTTTAGCTTGCAGATTTTATGAATCCTGTCCTTAAACACCCAGGTGCACGACCATACACACCTAATATGGAAGTGGAACACCTAATATGAAGCTGTAAAAACAACAGCTAAAAAAATTTGCTTTGATGACTGTCAGCCTTTAAGACTATTGTGAGAAAACACTTCTCCTACTAAATCTTTTGTTGTATACTTTGGTGGCAGGTCTCTGAATTTATACGGAGTTTACCAGGATGTGAAGAACATGGCAAAGTGTTTAAGGACGAGGTGGGTGAATTTTATTTCAAAAGGATACAGAGTACAAAGCTTGATGGAAAGATTAGTTTTATGTTATAGTTAAAAATACATGTAAAGTAGTAGGATGAAGTGTATATTGAAAGTCAGACACAAATTTATGGAAGATAGGTTGGTTTGCAGGTCATGGAGTGGGAAGGAAGTAAAGAAGATAAAACTAGCTAAGTGACAGCCAGGTCTCTTGTGCTTCTCTAGCTTTGTTACTGCAACTGATACTACTTATAACTAATGATAGAAGAGGAGGAACCTTGTGATTTACTGCTCTTCTCTCTTAATCTGGTTTGAGGAAATTTGTGTGTTATTTGCAGGATGTTATTAAGTAAAATAGAACAGTGGTTCAAGATAACTGCCCTTAAAACTCTTTGTGTCTTGTCTGATCACACTTACCTCTTGATGCTCTTCTCCCAATACAGCCAGTTTACAAATGTGATTGAGTGGAAAGTGAGAAAATATGAAGGCTTCTGATGAGGTTTAAAGGAGTGTATACTAACTTCGTGAGCACAGCAGGCATGCATTTCTGGTATCTGAGAACATTGTTGTGCCAAAGTTGTCATTAGGAAGTGATAGAGCTTTTAGGTACAATAGAACTTTATAAGCTAGGTTGGCTTATTCTTTTCCACTCAGATGTTTGTTACTCATGTTAATGCTTGGTTTCAAGAAGACTGTTTGATCACAAATAGCTAGAGTGAATAGTTCAGGTGCTTATCCCAGCCAGACCACCTGAAGGGGCAGAATCTGATACTGTAATATGTCAAGTCAGCCAGCCTTTCAAGTGAAGAATAATTGTGGTACTTAGACTCGAGAAGGCACCTCCTGAGAAAAATGCATACAGATGGCCCTGCTAATCTCCTGCAACAAAAGTTTTCAGGCTGTGCTATAGATTGTAATGACTATTACAGTTGCATATCAAAGGACTGACAAAAATCTCTTGCCATTTTGCACTTGCTTAGATGTTAGGCATTTTACAGTTGCAGCAGGTATGCAGGCCTGGATCATCCCTGTGTCACTTTGGGTGTTTCACCAATGAATTTAAGGTCAATAAAAGCTGGTGAATTGGTGATCAAGTCAGCGGGTTGGAAGTGCCACAGAGATGGATGAATCCTAAAGGCTTTTTTTATCAGAGGTTTAAGAAAATACTTCCTCTTTTTAGGATTCAGCCTCTCAGGCTTTATCTGTGAGTAGTAAATGAAACCTCTCCCAGTGAGGCCAACTGACATGGGCTGGCTGGCATCAGTAGGTAGAAGGTGCTAGTTCAGACCTCTGCTGTGGAAATGAACCCTCATCCTGCTTCTATTAAGGTGCTGCAGAAAGCTGGGCACCCCCACGTTCACACTTCTGGTTCTGAGCTCACCCCGTCTGGCTTTGTGCATGAAATGAGCAGAAAGTGTTTGTAATAACTGTGTGATGCTGTTCTCACTGCAGTGTTCCTAGACTGACGGTGCTGAGGTGTACCATGCAGGCTTCTTTTGCAGTGTGTCTGATTCAGAAAGTTTGTCTTCTAGTCCTACAGAAACTTAATTACACTGGTTTTATCTCAAATTATTATCTTTAAGCCTCAGCAGTGCTCCTGATTTAACCACAGTTGGCCTTTAGGCCTAGCTGTCCTGCTTATGTTGCACTGAAAACTTAGTACAGATAACCTAAGTGACCTGAAGTCTACACAAGAAGAGTCTGAAGAAGAGTTTGCCCTCTTAGAAGTGAGGGCCTTGCC